GTTTCATATGTTCTTGATGATATATGTGACATTCTGAAGGTGTAAAGGACAGCACAAGACAAATACCTGAAACCCCACAACTCCACTTAATGCACAACATGGAAAAGTCTATAATTTGGAATTCAAAGCACGACTATTAGCCAAGATTATTCATCCTTCTAATTCTAAGAAAATAATGGCAGTTAGACAATCATGATCAGAGAATTAATTATATGTACATTTTAAAACTTAACTTTTAAGTGGCTTCCCATTAAGATTTGAAGTGAATACCCACTTAGAGGGTTAGAAATGAAAATTTCCTGCTTTCAATAGGAATCAAACAGATAGTGTCCTGAAATAAGCTAAGGTCATTCTCTTACATTACATTCAAAAGGGAAACGCCTGCCTTGTCTGTACTGATACATCTAGTATAAAACCATAAATTTTATACCTGATGGATGGGGGGTTAAGAAGTATATTAGAATTATGAGAAAAAAGTTTTTGACTTAATTTATAAACCCAATTAACATGGATTTGACTTTTTAATTTTTACTTATTTTTATTTTATGCGTATGATTATATTGCCTGCATGTAGGTAGGTGCACCTGTGTTGTACAATGCCTACAGTGGTCAAAAGAAAGCATGAGATCCCCTGGAACTGGAGTTACAGACTGTTGTTAGCTGCATTGTGGGTGCTGGAAATCTAACCCAAGTCCTACTGTGCCATCTCTCCAGCCCCATTAATTTTTATTTTATGTGTATGAGTGTATTGACTACATGTATGTAAGTGCACCATGTGCATGAAATGCCCTCAGAAGACACAAGAGGGCATCAGATCCCCTGGAACTGGAGTTACAGACAGTTGTTAAAGGCCATGTGGGTGCTGGTACTCAACTCAAGTCCTCTGCAACAGCAGCCAGTGCTCTTAACCACTGAGCCATCTCTCCAGCCCCCTTTTTTTGTCTTTTTTGAGACAGGATCTCCTTTTAGCCCCAGTTTACCTGGAACTGGATATGGAGACCAGGCTGGCCTTGATCTCACAGAGATCTACCTGCTTCTGCTTCCCAAATGCTGGGATTAAAGGTGGAACCACCATACCCAGCTGGTTGGATTGACTGACTTCTGTAGAGATAAATGTTCTACAATTCCTGTTGTGGCTAAGCATCTAACTTTCCTCAGAACAAAAGTAGCTATAATACTAAAGGACAATCTGTAACATATCCCTGAACTTTCATACTCTAATCCATTGAAAAAAATGAAAAAGTAGACATTACCAACAAAACCCACAGCCTGAGATTGACATGATTTGCCTAAGGTCACACAGCAAATTGTGGGTGATGGTATCTACCTGGCTTCACATCCTCCACTATCCCCAGTAAAGAAATGGCCCTTTTGAGATAGCCTGAGCTCCTCCATTTTTGTGTAAGACATTTTGGTGAGCCATCCCATACCCTACCCAGGGCCAGAAGTTCCAGGAAGAGCTAACCCCAGAGGCCTGGTCTGTTTTGAAGTAACACACCCATACAATCCTGGGAGCCTCCAATTGAGGCCTCTCTGGCTTTTGTGACTGCTTGTCTTTAAGTAAATCTTGTACCAACTGGTCAGGATATGGACTTTACCTTTAAAAGCTCCCGTCCCTTCCCAGTTAGTGCTGCATTCTCTAAATTAGTTCAGAGAGAGTGGTCTCTGGGAAGCTAAATAAATTAGGCTGATTTGGAACTTTCTGAGTCTGAGTAGTCTTTTCCCAGTGATCCTGAACTCCCTAAAAACTTTGTCCTTACTTCTGCCCTCGACCCTGGTTTTTCTGGAGCATCTCTCATAGCAGTTATACCATCCATTTCAAGATGACAGGTGCCTTGTGTTCTAAGGTGAGTTGTCTGACCTCATTTAATTCCTCGTCTGACATTTCTATTTACAACCTCTTCCCTTTCTAAACTGAGGGTAGGTTAAATCATCCAGTTCAATCATAGCAAAAATCTTACACACCATTTGAAAACAAAATATTTGTATATTTCTTGCTAGTGTTGAATATACAGTAATACCATCAAATCAGAAAAATACTATTACAGCAAAATTAATAAACCCTGTGTTCTTAAGTCAGAGCCTTGCTGGCTCTTTAATCTTTCTCTTTAGTATCCTTTTTTAAAATGCAGCTCCAATTAATCCTACATATTAATGGGGATAATCTCAAGGGCAGGATAATCTTTGTGTCCCGTGTCGGTGTGATGATTCAGTCACTATCGTGAAACCTAAAAGCACCCCCCCCAAAAAAAAAATGGCAGTCATCACTTTTATCCAGGCTGTGATTTCCTTCCGCTTCTGAAACATCAGCATGTCTGCTTTGTGTCCACTGGAGGCTTAAAAATGAAGAAAATGCTGTGAACATTTTTTCCGAAGTCCCTTTTATTAAATTTTACATTCTTAGAGAAAGGCAGGCTCAGTCCTGCAACTCTCACCATCCTGAGAATCTCCATTTCCACTGCTTTCAGACAGTCTGTGGGGAACAGACCTTCTATGCTCTCTAACTAGATTGTGTGCATTCTCTGACAGTAATTGCTTGTGTGTATTCCTCGCCACCAAACAATTCAAAGTCTGCGGTTAACGTCAGACTCCATCACTCCTGTGGCTGTTACTCTTTTCTGTCTGTTTCTCAGTTATATCCAAAGTGACTTCATTCTCTTAGCACAAGTTCTCCCTCATTCTTTCATCCTGTCTTTTCCTACCCAAACAGGTCAATTCACCCAAGTTCACATATTCTGCTTTTCCTCATTTTTGTCCACACTGTCCTGTGATTCCAGAGCTTCCTCATTTGGATCTCGACTGCCCTTTCCTTTATTTCCTACAAATTTTATCCCGTTTAAACAAACAAAAAAGTCATCTCCACTAGCTACTCATATCACACTAGCCTGCAGATATACTGCTAACTTTGCATTGGAAAACATCAGAAAGCACATACGCATCCAAGTATTTACACACAGGATCCACCCTGTAAAATCTCACAACAGGAAGAACTTCATATGTACGATTTTACCTCATAATAAAATATTTATTTTTGAGGATAAAATGAGATATATGTTAAGCATAAAAAATTACATTTAATTATTGGAAAACAGCAAGTCATTTTTCTAGCTCTTTAAAAATATTTTAATCATGCAAAATCAACATAGTATACTCCAGCTCAATGCTAAAATGTTACCTAATATTCACTGTCTTTATTAATTTACAGGGTATATATTTTGGCAATAGTTATGAAAAATAATTACTCTAAAGGAAGTCCAAATGTATTACTTTAGAAATGATATTTTAAAATACAGCAGTTAGCAACATAAACTATTGTTCTTTATACATTTTGGCATAACACTGCCATACAGTTACAAAATTATAAGTATTTCATAGTACTATACACACCCAGAAACTGGCTACAGCTTCTACCAAATACACATGGTATTTGTACTGACAAACAGGCACAGCATTTGGTTCATGCTACAGCTGGATACAGAGCACAGAGAAGGCCCATTGCCCTGTGGAGGATCAGGGCTGGGTGACAAAGAAAATGTATATCTTTATAAGCATCAATCAAACCCATTTCCCTTAATATTTGAAAGACAAGAGACCCAAAGCTTCCAATGTGAAATATCTGACCGTGGTTTGCATGAGTAATGTCTCCCAGAGGCTCACATATTTGAACACTTGGTCTCCAGGTGGTAGTGCTGTTTGGGAAGGCTGAGGAATCTTCAGGTATAGTCTTGCTGGAGGAAGTACATCATTGGAGCCAGGTTTGAGGGTTTATATCCTCACCCCACTTCCTGCTTGCTCACTTGCTTCCTGTGTGCACTTGAGATGTGATCTCTGAGCATCCTGCTCTGCCCACCATGGACTGCTATTATGGACTCTCTCTGGAACTGTAAGCCAGAATAAACTCACCTATAAGCTGCTTTCAGTCATGGTGTTTAATCATAGCAATAGAAACGTAATACAGTGACAATACCCTTTTTGTCTTCTTAGGTAACATAAAAGATGAACCAATGTTAATAAGGAAATAGCCCCTGGGAAAAAAAATTATCAAAGGATCTAATGTTTTGCTCACATTTGCTTCTCTTTTAAATTTCTTTCATTACATTTATTTTGTGTGTATGTGGATATATATGTGGGCATACCATGGCCATGGCATACTTGTCAAAAGGTCGACTTGCAGGAATTGGCTCCCTCCTTCCATCATGTGGGTTCTGGGAATTGAACTCAGGTCTTCAGGTTGGCAGCAGGTGCCTTTCCCTGTCGAACTATCTCTTAGGCTTGCACTTGCATCTCTTAACTGTAATGCCACACAACTGCTATGCCATCACCTGGGTAGTGTGGGAGACAGAAACTTTTCATCACTCTAACATCACTGAGTCCTCTTACCAGCCCTGGCTGTCTACACACAACAAGGAATTGAACTTGGTACTGATCCTTTGACTATTTCCATTAGCCTAATGTAAGGTATCAATCTGGAATACACGTTCACAGAAAGTATTGATGGGTCCATTTCCACACCAATCACTGATGTCCTTGGCACAGAAATATCACCATTTCAAGATTTTTGATAAAGTGTTATGATTTACAAAATAATATTTTAACATAACAAGTGAATGTTAATGCTTCCACTCAGAATCACTTCACAAGAAGTTGTATTTTTTTTTTTTTTTAATGAGCGCATGAAAGAACATCCCAAAAGAAATCTTGCTTAAAGAACCAAGGCAAGGGTAGCAAATAAATGACAGCAAACATTGTGAAAATTGGCACCTATTATAATTGGGCACAGGGTCCAGGATGGTGTATCATCCCTGCACGGTAGAGATCACAGGCTCAACACCATGATCCACAGGAGGCTGAGAAGATGCCTCATGCTGACAAGGGGAAGCACAGGCCTGGCTCCACCTTGCAGGATGCCCATCTCATCTTTAAACCACCTCTCCCTCTCTGAAATCCAGCCTCAGCCAGCCAGGGTTTAGGCCACAACACAAGCACATCACAAGATTCTCCACGTGAAACTTTAATTCAAGAAAACAAACATATCAAGAAATTATTTCCCACAAATAATTGAAACAATAAACTGCAACAAAGGGAAAGTAGATGGCATAGAATACTTTCTCTAATCTAAGAGAAAAGCAAGAACAACACTTTTTAAATTTATGTAATAAGAATATACATAAAAGTTTTTCAAACTAATTTCAGATTCCACCAAACATCTACTGAAAACAAGACCTTAATAATTTCTCTAATAACATTACATTTCTATATCCATATGAATCTGAGATCAGGAAGCAAAATATAACTATTACTTGTAGTAACCAAGGAATATTTAAAATGATAAAGCAGGTAACAGAACTAAGAAAAAAGTAAATAAATAGATCAAATAATACAATAGCATAGGTGAATCTTTCTTCGGATGAACCCTATTAGCAAATATAATTCATTGTTGGGAAATTTGAATATACTTCACGAATTGATGCTCTTTTTTATTTTTTCGGTTTTTTGTTAATTGTTTTTTGACAGGGTCTCCCTAGTCACAACCCATCTGAAACTCTGGAAGTCACAATGTGTACCAAGACGGCCTTGATCTAGCAGAGATCCACCTACCTCTGCCTCCCAAGGGCTGGGATTAAAGGCACACACCAACATGCTCAGCAAATTGATGTTCTTGTAAATGGGTAATTTCTCCAAAATGATTAAAGCACCAAAGTAAATTTTGTTAACATAACTGATATTCATGGTTTGAAAAGTTCCTTATGATAGGACTTTACAATGAAATAGTAATGTAAAATTCTGAATGAAAAACATTTACATTCATTAAGGCACATCTGGAACCTCCAGGCGTTCATATTTATTACTATATTATTAAATTATTAGATTAAAAAAAAAACAGCCCATCCCAACAATCTGCTGGGTGGGTTAGATCACTAGAACAAAGGAGAAGGGAGGGGAGTACTGTCACTCTAGAGATTACCCACACAAATCTGCTCCTAATAAACAGTACAGAATTTAATGCTGAGAGAAGTCAGCAGACATATGCTACTAGTTTCCTAGGTTCAACATTGACTTGGGCCACCTTCCTCTACAACTACCCCTGCATTTGAATGATTCTAGTATATCGAATTTCAGCTCACCTTAACATTTGCACCCTGGAAGAAAAGAGGGAAATGTTCTAAGTGGAAAAGCAAAACTTCTAAGTGAAAAAGCAAAACACAAATATTTCTAAACAGTACTATAATGAGGGCTCCTTAGCCACCAATGCCACTAAAGGCCTGGAGATACAATTATAATTAAAGAAATTTTTGCAAAAGTTCCTTTTCTTGTATTAAAAAATACAGATTTTAGAGGAGCATCAAGAACAGCTTTAAATTTCTTTGTCTCAATCATATCGTAAATGGAAAATTTTAACTTTAAATCAATTAACCAAAGCCAGGCATGGTGGTGCATGCCTTCAATCCCAGCACTCGGGAGGCAGAGGCAGGTAGATCTCTGAGAGATCAAGGACATCGTGGTCTACATAGTGAGTTCCAGGCCACCTAGGGCTAAAGGAAACCCTGTCTCAAAAAGACAAAACAAAAGTCAATTAAACCAAATATTCATTAACAGTTTAAGCAATTTTGATCATTCTGCATACTGGTTTATTTGCCAAAACAATTTTGTCAGGATTAACCCCTTCTTCTTCCTTTTCACCCATCATATTTTCATTCAGAGTAAAACAGAAATTGGAAACAGAGCAGGTGAGTTTTTAACAGGATATGATGAGTCATGGCTGCTGTACTTGTATTACATCTTCATGTAATTATTTTTGTAGCACTTATGAAAAAAAATCTTAGAACTTTCTTAGTAACTCCTGAGTTATAGATTTATTTTCTTCTGAAACCTGAAAAATATAGTCTTAAAACCTAAAACAAGGTAAAGCTATACAACGCAATTTTAGAACTAACAACTAGCCTGGATATAGAGAAAGCCGGTAGATTTTCAGTTCTCTCATGACTCTTGAATTTCCTATGAGATTGAGCACGAAAATGCAGAAGGATACAATCATATTCATGTTAGAAACTTCTCTACTATACAGAAATATATCTTATAACTATCACTTTATAGTATTTCAAAATATTTTCACATATATTATCTCATTTGAAATATCAAAGCACAAAATATTAGAAATTTTCTAGACTAATCAAGCAATATAACATCTTTTATCAACAGCCAACATTTAGCATCCTTGCAGCCCATGGTACTATAATACAGACCATATGAAAACACCTGCAAATACTTAGTAATGTGTCTAGCAAATTGGCCATGCTACACAGAATTTTCTGTAACAGCTACTCAGTACATTTCTGCAAGCATATGGTAGTTTTTAGAAGTACAAAACATAGAAGTCAAAGCCAGGGGGCAGTTTCATATCTAAGACACACATAAATACATATTTGTAGATCTTATTTTAAAAAACTATTCAATATACAAAGAACTCTTAATATAAAAAAGACTCTAGACACTCAATTTTTATCAGCGAAAGGAATGATATCCTCTACTTGTTCTTCACTAAATTATTCTCTTGGCTATTTACAGATTAAGTGTAGGAAATATATTGTCGCCTATGAATATGCATTTGAAAACCGTATTGTGGAAAAAGGACACTATTTTAGATAGAAGCCAGGTAGTTCTCCTCTTAAGACTAAATATTCCCAAATAGTACAATCTAATAAAATCCTTAATAAGGGATAATACTCCAAAACCTAAACTGTTAAATGAAATGTTTTCATTTCTAAGGGTTCCGGTAGTCTATGATTTCTAAGTAATTCATATTATAATAATTTTGAGTATCTGGTAACTGTTTTTAAAAAATATTTTAGTATCTAATCCCATATTTTTACATTAAACACCTTCAAATTGGTCTGAGTGTTTCATCATGTCCAAAATTAGTAAGATATCTTAATTAAGCTGATCATATTCCTATAATGCAGCCCAACTTGCCAACCCACTCTCGTTCCCCAAACCAGTGGAACATGGCTACAAGCACCCCATAAGAGGGTCAATCTATTCTGTGCATATAAGGAATTTAATGCAAACTTCATTTGTTACCTCAAAGTCCTAATACTTCACAAAACACAAACAATCAAAAGCTGACCTATTATAGGAACCAAAATGATAACGTGTTTCATAGTCTCCTTCCCGGAATATAATTCACAACACAAATGCCACTAAGACTCATAAAACATCAGGGTTAAGCAACTGGGATGTTTTTGTGTCAATTTAAAAGCAACAGAGTCTTATTTCTAAATGCATTAAAATTGTGTGATTATTTTTTAGGAATCCACTACTGATGGTGTGGAGCTGAAAAGGCAACAGACGATTATATGATGGCACAGGAGACAGGACAAATTAAAATTCTCTGGGTGGGGAGGACAATAAAGTGAATAGAGCCTTTCTGAAAAGCCTAAGAGAGATGTTTTAAATGTTAGTTTCTTGCTAAATAAATCAAAATGAAAATCTTTTCTATGCATTGCTTTGTCTATATTTTACGAATGCTTTGAAGTTGTTACTACAGTATTGCTGGTTATCTTCTGATTTGTAATAATAATTTGAAATAATATTGTAGCAAATAAAAATTTTAGCCAATGTTTTGTAATACATTAGGACTTATAAGAAGTGACTACATGTAATTTCAAACTGCTCTTGATTCCAAAGTTTGACAAGTTAAAGATACACGGAGACACACACACACACACACACGGTCACTGTGGAGTGATAACATTAGTAATTCCATATTTCTCATAACATCAATACACTGGCTTAAAGGACTATACCATTTGTTGACAGTGCAAGGAAATGTCTCTTAAAAAATGAATAAATTTTGTGATTATCTTAAATTCCTCAGTCAGTTGCACCCAGAATCAACTACCAACTTCATATGGAACAGCCATAGGGATAAAAGTTCTTTTTTGTTCTTGTTTTAAAGACTTTTGCACAAAAAATTCTTTTTAAGCACAATACTGAAAATATTTTTATTTTAAACATAGAAAATTCCTGAAATCAGAGAATTAAAAATTCCCCTCTGCTCCATGTAGAGGTCAATACAGGAGATTATCCTAATATGTACTGGTAAACTTATGTGGATGCTGACAAAGATGATAGGTCAAGGGAAAAGAAGAGAAGGGAGAGAGAAGACAGTCTGGTGACAGCTGGGAAGGTCAGCACTCCCTATGAACAACTGCTGCACTTACCAGAATCAAAAAATAAAAACACTGAGGTGTTATAATCAAAGAATCCAGATTACTTTCTGGGTACAGTTGCAAAGACCCAATTCATTCTTCTAGTTTCAAAACAAATCTAAAAATCAGGTAAGAATTTGTGCCATGACAGTATCTTCATGGTCTTCAGGGAGAGGGTAGTCTCTGAGGAGAACATGCTTGATAGATCAAATATTACATGATTATTTCCAGACAACTTGAAAATATTTGTTATATACAGAATTTGAAGACATATCCTAAATACATTCCTTTACTGGATCTGGTCTTAAAACTTATTATATCCAATCCATTGTCAAAAAAAAAAAAAAAAAAAAAAACAAAGGTCTTACAACAAACGTCACAAGCAGATGGCTAACATTTTAAGCATGACCTCATCTCTGTTCTTCAGGATAAATTAGACAGTAGTTTTTCCCTCCCTTAACCTAACTGGTTTGTGGGTTTGTGATTCACTGAAATTCTACCTCATCCTGGCAACCAGAATTTCCAGGCTCCTCACAGTCTTTGCTCTGATTTTCCCCTTCTCCATCTTTTTCAGAAGGCGAAGGATTCTCCCTTTTCCCTGCAGCATTAGCCACCGTTTTCTCTGGTGGAGAACTTGACTCTTCAGCATCACTGTCCTCTGTATTTCTTGGCTTGGCAGCATCACTGCTGGGCTCTGGGATCAGCCTGTCTGTCTCCTCCTCAGGCTCTTTGGATGCTGCTTTTTTTTCTTCCACTGTTTTGCTGTTTAAGTGAATAGCTACAGAGGAATTTTTGGAGTCCTTGGATTTCTTGTGCATAGAAGTTTGATTGTTATGACCCGAAGCAGGCAGGACAGGCATTTTCTGGGCTTTGCTTCCCTCAGATTGTTCTTTTCTAGGAGGTCCCCAGATGAAATTCTCTGAAGGCGTGTAATGTTTCTGAGCAAACCGCAGGAGCTTCCTCCTTTCTCTTCTGTCTCTAATTGTATAAACAAAATACTCCAGTGCACTCTGCTTAATGTTGGGAAGAGTGTTTTCTACAAGAGCCTCGTGAAGAATAAATTTTACAAGAGGAGATTTAAAACTTTCATATCCAAGCTCACCAAGGCTTTTAAGAATACGTGTAATTCTTAAGTAGTTGTGCTGTGACCTGAAAGAAAGGATGCAATAAAGTGAGAGGAAGGAAAAAAAAAAAAAAAAACAGGTAAAAGAGAGCAAGCTATTGGGAAGGTATGTTCACGGAAATGTAAAGTAAGGAAATAAGTCTTACCATGACATTTAAAGGCATACAGAGTCTAACTGTGTCTCCAAATGTCCTTCAGCATGTGTCTACTCACTGGAACCTAGTTAACCTACCAAGAGTCCCATCCTTGAAAGAGACTGTCTCTGCCCCTCCTGGAAGTCATTTCCATAAGTTAGGTTGGGGTTTCTTACCCACTTCCTCAGGTCTATGCTGGGATTTTGTCTGGTCTGATTTTGCATGGGACTTGAACATGCCATCACCACTGCTGGTGCCAAAACTCTGGGAAGTAACTTCCCAGCTGTCTGGAAAACTCTGTTTCCTTGTGGTCATCCACCACCTCTGGCTCTTACACACTTTCTGCCCCCTCCTCTACAATGATCCCTGAGCATGAGAGGCAGAAGTCTGATATAGGTATGCTATCCAGGGATAAGCACTCTGCAGTCTGCCGTATCTACATATTCATCCACTAAAATATTTACATACCAGCATAAAATGACAAAAGCAGGCATTGATAAAATATTGATCAGGATACTAGGACAAAATCAATTTATAAAATTATCTATAATTCTCTTCTAGGAGAGTTCACCTAGAGTTGGAAAGACTGAGAGATGCTGGGCAATGGAAGCAAAGATGCTAGGTTGCAGACAGGACAGAGAAGGCTATTGGTTCATGCCTTCACCTGACTCAAGTCATGAGATCACATTATTAAATAAAGCCTTCAGAAAGGGTTCTGTTTCTAGCTATAAATGAGAGGATCTGACAATTAAACCCCAGAGAAGATTTAAACTTAAAATTGTATTTTGTCCATGATTTATTAGTTCAACAAAAGTGTGCCAAACAAGATTGCCATTCCAAACAAAAATAACAAATTACGAAGGAAGAGTTTTTGAAATGGTAGAGGTGAGCAGACTAATGAGGTGCTCGAGTTTCCAAAGGCTTACTCACGCACAGCTTTTTTTGTCAGTGTGATAAAAAGTGTTTAGGAATTGTCCAGAGTGGGTTTTCTGTGTTCCATAGGAAGATGAACATATACTTGCACTTTAAGTGCTCCTATGCAATAAATTAACTGGACTTATAAATTAAATTAATGGGTCTTCCAGTCAGGATCATAAAGCTTTATATCTGTATTTCCAATATTTCAGCACAAGCTACCATTTTAGTAGTGTCACTTAGAACAAAGTAAGAAGAAAGCTCAACATCAGTGTTTCTACTCATCTGACCAAAGCATGACAAAAGCTCTAGGAAGACACAACAAACTTAAATAGCTGATGCCAAAACTCTGTTTTTGACAAAGAAATTGCTTACGGTAGTTTAATTTTTTTCTTCTTAGTACTTGCCCAGTTCAGCTAATTATAATGTGCTAAAAGTTCCTTAAGACTGTTAGTTTTAATAGTTTGGTACTCATAAGTCACTCTATAATTAAAAAGAAAAAGAAATCCAGTGTGTATAAGAAGAAACATTCCAAATTTTGCTTATAAGTCTTAATGACTATTATAAATATCCAAGCAAAAGTATATAGCTAAGCCCATCCAAAGAGGTTATGCTAATTTTTCCCTTATAGATTTTTATAATTAACCCAAAATAAATTTCTGTCTTTTACCTAACATGAAAATAATTATAATTTCCCCTCTATTTTAGTAAGAAGTATGGCCACATCTAATGAAACCATTTTCATACATTATAGACTTAACTCATGAATTTCATCTACTAGAAGCCAGCATGCTTGAAGATTTTAGAAACAGTCTAGAAGAAGATATATGAAAAGCTCTATGCATGCAGTAACCATAAACCCACGTGACACAGCATACAGAGACAACATGTTCAGCAGCCGGCAGGAAGATTCAGAAAGAAACAGCTCACATGCTGAATAGCTACGGTCTATGTAGAATTTTGTTCTTTTTAGTTGTTTTGTTTTGTTTCAAAATGTACACCAAGGAATAAAATGCACGTCTGACTAGTTTTGAATCCAAATTCCTGAGCCCAACTGCTAGCTATTCCTGCTTTCCACAGAGAATGGAAGCACAGGAAAATGCCACTGATTTATCACCAGGGTGTCACTCACTCATTCAGATGCTGAAATCTTTCTTGCCAGTTAACAGCCCGAGCAACAGTTCCAGTTTTATCCATCAGTTTTATTCCAAAAAATTCTAGCATCATTTTATAAGCCAAGAGGAATCTTCTAATTGCTTCTTTTGTTTTTTTGAATTCCTAATATAAAAGAAAAAAAAAAACAACCACACTCAACTAAAACGACTCAGTAGCTAACAAGATAATATTATTTGGTCACCTCATAGAAAATGAAATGAGCTGCATTACCTCAATTTCATATGTAGTTAATTCCTTAGCGTAGAAGTTCAAGCCTTGTTCTCTCAGGGGAAAAAGCCTAGTTTTTTAAAAATAAAAATTTTCAATTAACATTGTCTGAAAAACACTTATGATTAAACAGGACATGGTCCAAGGTAGACAATGCGTAACTAACCATTGAATGTAAGTGTGGTTGTGTTCCAGCTTTTCATAATCTCCTTTCCATTTATTTAGAACTTCTTCAATGTAAACACCTAAATAGTAAATATTTAGAAAATGAAAAGATTTACTGACGACACTGTGATGGGATTTTAGCAGTTTACTCATGTAAGTTTTATGTTAAAACTCTTAAAAGTCTAAAAACAGAACATAAGAATAATGTTCTTAAAAGAGGAACACCCTATGCCATATACTCAGTTATGTAATAAGCCTAATTAAACAAATTAGCAGCACCTCAAATCATAAAACTTTTGGCAATGTACTCTAAAAGCAGAGAATGGCAAATGATGGTCTAACAGTGATTTTTGTAAATAAAGTTTTATTGGAACATAGTCATGTATATCATTTATGTTATGTATTGTCTATGGATTCTTTTTCCTACAACAGAAGACTTGATTGCTGTAACACAGATGACTCTAAAAAAACCTAAAATCTTTACTATTTGCCTCTGTACAGAAAAACCCAAAAAGTATGATTATCTTCATTTTACCAATGGAAAAAAAAAAAAAAAACCTGTATAATTTGTTCCAAGTCACACACAAGTAAAATAGTAGTCTAAGAGTTGAGCATAGATCTTGTTCCAGTAAGTAAGCCCTTCTCACAATGGTCTGTGTTCTCCAACAAGCACTTACTACTCTTGATTCTTAAGTCTGTCAAGCTTTTTACAACTGACTAGTTGGCCAATCTGATAGAAAACATATGCTCAGCATGGTGGCACAGGCCTTTAATCCCAGCACTCGGGAGGCAGAGGCAGGCAGATTTCTGAGAGTTCAAGGCCAGCCTGGTCTACATAATGAGTTCCAGGACAACTGGAGCTATGGGAGACTGTCTCAAAAGCTCATCTCATTCCTCAAAGATCACCAATTAGAAAAATTGTTTTGAATCATGCCATTAGCTTTATTAGAATGCTAAAATTATTTGCCTCTGTAATTTTCTGTGTTCCTCTCCAACTACTTTATTCATACTTCGTAAATAAAATATATAATGTCACTGCAAACTATGCTTGTTGGCAAGTGTGTGTGTGTGTGTATATGTGTGTGTGTGTGTGTGTGTGTGTGCGTTCTACACTGAAGAGGAAAGTGTATGAGTTCATGTCATTCAAATATTACACTAGAATAATATTTTATGTGATGTTAGATGCAATTTCTGACCTATATCAATTTATAAACTTCAAGGCATGCCAGGCGTGGTAGTGCACACCTTTAATCCCAGCACTCTGGAGCAGAGACAGGCAGATCTCTGTGAGCTTGAGGCCAGCCTGGTTTACATAGGGAGTCCCAGGCCAGCTGGGGCTATAGGGTGACCCTGTCTCAAAAATAGTTCAAGGTATATTTTGTGATAATGATTACAAAAAAATAACACATTGTTTGAACTTAATGCTTTACATTATCACCTCAAAAATACACTCACTCCCGGAAATACAAAAATAAAATTATTGTCATTTATTTATATTCAATAGCTGTAATGATTGGCTGAAATGTGTCTAATAATTGAACTTATTGAATAAATGTAATCAAATTAATACAATTGTTGTATTTCCAAAAGGTTTGTTTTAGCCCAAGTGCTAAATAACTATTTTCTTCAAAATAAAAAACAGCATTTTTCTATCGCTAGTAAGACAATCATGCATATTTGTCCAGAGGTTTGCCTCCAGAGTTCTGGAATACCAGAAAGTTCAAGACAATTTGATTTGGACACTCCAGCAATGTTCTTAAGTGGCACAGTGCTCAAGACATGAGCTTAGGATTCCCTCTTCCAAATACTCCATCCAGTCTTTTAGCTTTCCTTGTAGTTTAATCACCAGAGAATACAAGACCTTAACATTTTGAAAGCATTATAATCAAGGACCCCTACTCCTCAATTCACACTGCTAGAAATTTGGCTCAGTCTCCACTGAGAGGAAATAACAAGAATCAGGACGTTCTGGTTACTTAACACCAAGAAGTATGCTAAGGAGAGTGTCCGGCTTCTGTTTAGACTAGTTAAAATCAAAATGCCCACCACAGGCACAGTGTGGCGCCTCAATAAGATGTGTTATTTTGCAATCAAATTAGCATAGCAACTGCCTCTCCTGGAGGGCAGTTGCAGAGTTGTCAAAGAAGTACTTTTATTTAAGAGGGTTGGGTGGAGAACAACCCCACGTACCATCCCCTTTCTAGAACAGGGCAACAAGTAACTGGGACTATGGGAGCTTCCTGAGACTCTATTCTAGAAACTAACAAAAGGGACTCTAAACATCAATGCTACCTTTATTTATATATAAGTAACTTTTAAGTATAGCATTCCAGGAAAAAAGTGAATCCTGGAATTTAGTCCCAGTTCTTAAAATCAACTGAGTGATCCAGCAAGTCACTCATTTGGGCTTTAAATGCCAGTGACTACATCTTTAACATGAGAAAGCTGAATTTGATCACCTCTAAAGTCTAATAATCTAAAATTCTATGGTTCTATAATTCTTCCCTTTTCTCACACACACACACACACACACACACACACACACACATACACACACAAATCCCCACTACCTTTTGGATAATAGCCATGCTATACAGGTGCTGGGAAGGTACCACTAACCAATAGTTAGTTATTTCTCAAGAACTCACTATGTGGATATCCACAACTCTAAGACCTAGGACTCAGGGGACACCTGAGACTGCACAGCACAGCAAAGCTAATCAATGAGCAAATGCAATAGAAATGGACTACGCATGGAATAAACAGAGACTACCCAGGTACATGTCATTATTTAAATTTGCTTTTTACGAAGGCAGATTACTCACCATCTGGCTTAAATGGAATTTTATTCTTATAAAAACGAAGGTTGCTCAAATCATTTTGATATCGAATATCTTTGAAGTTCTGCTAAAGGAAAAAAATACATCAATCTCTAGTGTGTGGAAATACAGAAAAGGCACAACGATCCTTCAGACATGTTTTTTTATTGGCACCATAAATTTAGAAAAACAGAAGGGGAATGTTTTACATTTACGGTCAAAACGCCCCACATGGTATTTTCTTACTGGGTACTGATGTCGGTATTTGTACAAATCCCTCGCAGCATAAAAACTTCTCTTTGGTTTAGCTGTTGCTTCTGTGGAATCACCACCCTAAGATACAAGTAAAACTCCATTTACACAGAGAATTTCACTGAAAAAGTTCCAGAAGAAACAAAATAATCAGCATCCACAGAGATCCTTAACATTTACAGCCAATCCAGAGGGATGGAAATATTATCAGCATCTCTTTAATAACACTACCAACAATGTTTGCTGGCATCTATCTGCCTTATTTTCATTAAAAACTTTTGTCCTAAGGTACATTGTTAAACAATAAACTCTACTGTTGAAACTCCTGTAGAGGGTAAATGTTAAGGATTACTATCCATCTGAAACAACTTAAAATTAATTCAAAACATGTGTTTCACCAGATGTTATACAACTGATCCTATGACAAAACTTATTTTACATAATACCAGAAAAGTGTTAAGATGGTAAACCAATTAAATACAGAAAATTCTCATTAAAGTTGCATCATTTAGCTGCACTAGAAAGTCAAGTAATATTTATGAAAGGAAAGGAGAATTTGAAAACAAACTAAATTAGCTTTTTAAACTCCTTGAAAGCATCATAACAAGTACACAAGGTATGAATAATCATCTGCCCACTCGATGATACGATGTGATATAAATCAGAAAACTTAAAATATATATACACAGCAAGACAAAGCTCTCAAGTGGAATGAACATGATTGAATTATCCGTGTGTGATAGTTTCCTTACACTTTTATAGTCTAAGGGAATATCTCAACCACCATGATGCTGTTTTTAATGGGTGAGATTCAGGTCAGTATTATCCATTTGCATCCTCTAGCTATAAGAACCATTATAATGCATGATCAACTGTTTGTGTCCAGTGACACACAGAACAATAAGACTGAGCATGATGAAGACTGCAAGCTTTAAATATGAATATTCATTAAGAAATCTGTCCCACATCCTTTATCTCATCATCTTCCTCCTCTATCTGTGTTGACAGACTGGCATCTTCTAAGCAATTTTCACACATTTTTGAAATGGTGTGATTCTCACTCTTACTACAAGCACAGAGATACTTACTTGTATATCTACCAAACTCTCTGATGTTTAACGTTACTCTGTCATGTTACATAAGCAAAGAAAAGCTTAAATTCTGGTCCCTGCCACACGTTTCAAAATCACTCTGACTAGGAAGTTTCTGACTCTATTTAGCCTTAGCTACAACCACATGAATCATCATCCTGCATTTGTACAGGAAGCACTTTTCCATTTATAAAATATTTCCATGTATATCAGTTCATTTGATTCTTACAACACTGTACCTGACTGACAGTTATTAGTGTTTGCATCTTAGAAACGAGATAGCTTAACTTTAGAGGAACCAAATAAGGTTCAGAGCCCAGCCACAGTGCAAGAACTGTTTCCAAGTCCAAATAATAAAGTCTGAATCAGCTTCATCCCTGTTAAAGTGATGGATATATGAAAACCTTGCTATAAGATCAACGACCCAAGGCCTGGAGTCAAGAGACTGAGGTGAGTCTTAATTCTGCCACTTAGTATCTGGGAGGCTTAAAGCGAATCACTTAACTGAATCTTAGTTTTATCATCTGTGAAATGAAGATAATGACTCATGTCCTGCCTGTTCCCCAAGACTGCTATGTGAATGACTGCATCCTTCAGCCTGCCAGCTTCTGGCCTGCTCCTCCAATCCCTATTCCTATTCGATGCTCTGTTCTGGCCCCTTTCCCATGCTCAGGTAAGACTTTTGTGCCTTACCATACCATTCTTCTCCCCCTGGATCATCAAAACTTCCTTCTTCTAAACTACTCCCTACAACCAGCAAATATGAAGCATCTCTATTATTAAACAGAATCGCTCCTTTGACCCAAGTCTACCCCAATGTATGTCTCTGTTCCAGTTTGTAGTAAATTCTCAGATTTGTTCATAATTTCTATCTCCTTCTGTACCTACCCCATGATCTAGACAAGGCTCCGCCCTCAGCATTCCAACAAAAAGGATTCTTAAGAATTTCCTCAATAAATTTCCATCTCATCAAACCATTTCTCAATGCTCACCTCAGGTGAATTCCCAACAGCACTAGACCATTTAAGACCCCTCTCCTCCCTGAAACATTGCTAGCCCTTGGTTGTCAGAATACCAGCCTCCTGACATACTTCCTGTGTCATTGGTCCCCTCTGTCAGCCCTTTTTGTCCCCTTCTCCTCATCACACCCTCTCAACAGAGAAGTGATTGGGTTTGCCCTCATTCCTCATGACTCTTTGATGACCTCTTAACTTCCCCTGACTTTTAAGTACAACTGATCTTAAATGCCTGCTGACAATTCCAGCCCATAACTGAATCTCTATTGCTAGACATCACAAAGTACTCAACAACTTGACTTGGATGTCTAATAGGATTGAAAACTTAAGGGAAGCCTTGACTTGATCTATAAAGCTGAAGCTGAAGTCCCTGCAGATGAATTGACTGTTGGAAGCTAGGAACAAAATAGCACAAAAAGTCAAAGCATAAAACCAAAAGGATTATTTGAAAGTGTGATGGCCCTGACAAAAAATTAACTGTTAAAGTGGTCTACTGTTTATTCAGGTTGCAAGGCACAGGTTGACATGTTATCCCTTTCTTTTATATAGATTGACCTGGTTAATTTGTTTGACTATTGTGTGTGTGTGTGTTTATAATCCCAAATTTCTTTAGAAGGTTACTTAATTGGGAATGGAAGGGAAAAACACTGAAATACAGCATCTAATACTGTTTCAGGGTTTAGCACACAATGCCAGATTGTCAAAGCAGCAAACCAGAGCACAAAAAGGGGATAGGCAGGATTCCAACATGTCCAAGGCTGACTTTGGCCACAGACATGATTCATCCACCCCCCCACCCCCTCCCCAATGATCCTGGCAAGTTTCTTTCTCTAGAAGGCTCATGATCTCTAAACATGTTAAATAACATGTTCAGTAGTTCCTGTGGGAAGACTTCTTTATAATCTAAAGAGAAGTCATCAAGGTGGAGGAGGCAATACCAGCTATAACAAAAAGGGGATGGTTCCCCTAAAACCAAATGGTCACTTTGGACTTTGGGTTCCATTTTCCCGTGAGTAATACCAGGGAGGCCTAATACAGAAGGACAAACCTTAGACGCGATGCACACTTCTTCAGAGGGTATACAGTTAGTTCCTCCTTTTGAAAGTTTCTGAGGCCATCAGAGGTTAAACGACGCCATTTATCTCCCTCCTAACCTCCCTTCCTAATTGTATTAGTCAAATGAAGCACTGTTGGATCAACAAGTCTTCCGGGTGAAATGAAATTTCTGAATGTCCTGAACCCGTTGAAAGGTTTCTTTTGGGGAAAAGAATGTTGACTGTTGACGTCTTAAGTTTACACGGGGATCTCCCACAATACTTTTAATGGCTGTGGATCCCCCGCTGTAGGGGAGACTGCTGGCTGCCCGGCGACTGCAGTCCATCTTATTCTGAATAATATATAAGTATTTAACCAGTAACACGCACCGGTCGGGTTTTCAGAATCCTCTATTTTTACACAGCTTCCTCCCACCCCACCTTCGCATCACCCAGCGGTGCTGCAGAGGCAAAGGAAACACCTAGTTGAGTCGGGCTTTGCCTTGAGGGACGTCCCAGTGGTGCCCACCGCCAGGCCCAGACCGGCCGCGGGCGACCGGGGTGCTCTGGGAGGGTCGCCCAGCATCTCTGCCCTGCGCCACGGGAATGGCCGCGCGCGTGCCCTCCACCATCCAGGGGCGCAGCTGGGCCGAGGCCACCGGGTCCGGGCCGCGTACCTGCTCTGC